TGAAGAGCAGGCAAACATAGAAGGCCTTATAACCTTTATTTATCAATGAGAATCAAATATAAACTTTTATAAACTTGCTCTGTATTATTACCTGAATTGAACTAGTATAAAATAAGACTGATTCAATGATGCTTGTATAGTGATATCAAGAAACATTGTTTTATCCTTATATTTCATATATAATCTACCTAAAATGGCAGAGACTATGTGTTGTCTGTTCTAGGTAGTGAAGACAATTTGAGGGCACAGAGAAAAACCAGAATTCTTGATTTCCTTTACCAGCTGTATTATCTACCAAACTATGAACTCTACCATAGCAGGGACAATATATGATCCATTTTTGTATGTCCAGAGCATGGCATGAGATCTGGTATATAATGACACTCAGATTGTTAAATGGAAATAATACATCTTTGTTTCACCCTTTCCCTCAATGTAGCTTTTTGGGGGGATTTTTATTGGACCTATCCTATTTCTGCTTCCAGTTCCAGGGAGCAATGGACCATGAGATCCCATAAAGAGCAACTGTGGAGATTTTGCTACAGCTTATGGGAAATCGGCATGTCCAGGCTTTTTCGTCAGCGAGCCATATGAAGCAGGGGTGTGTGTGTGGCACAACACCAACTACAATTGAGGGAATATCTCAGTTTGGCAGGCTTGAGATGCTTATACCTGTTATTAGCAATATTTGGGAGTAGCCTTTCAAAAAGAGATTATCATCACTCAGTAGACTTAGATTGAAAAAGGGACATGTGATGCTTTTGAGGAAGACCTGTGGAAAATTTAACTGCAGATGGAAAAGAGAAGGGTTGCTTGAGGACATACTCTAATACTAGACTAGAAAAATATGGCTTCTGTGGTGAATTGTTTACCTCAATGGCTGCCAACAATTCTTCCCATCACTGTTCATACATTCCACTCTTCCTATCAAGTGGTGAAATCTATGATTCCTTCTCCTTGATTTGGAGGTGGCTTTCTGACTTGCTTTGACCAACAGAATTGGGCATAAGTGATGCTGTGTGACTTCTGGGCCTAGGCCTTAAAGACCTTGTAGCTTTTGTTCTTATCCTCTCAGAAGGCAGGTGACATTTAAAGAGGTTTGGGCTATTCTGCTAAGAGGCCACACGAAAAGAGAGAGGCCCTGAAAGGTAAGAGTCCATGTGGAGGAAATATTAAACTCCCCAGCTGACAGGCAGTGCCAACTGCCAGACATGTGAGTGAGACCATCTTGGATCCTTCATCCAGAGTTCAGCCTCCCAGCTGACACTACATAGAGCAGAGATGAGCCATCCTGTTGAGCCTGGATTGAATGCCTACGTTAAAGAATCATGAGCAATAAAATGATTGTCATTAAGTTTTGGGATTATGAAGCCACAGATAACTTTAAACAGCTCCAAGAACTGGCCAGGCAATAGTGTGATTCCTGTTGGCGTTTGTGTGGTGTCTTTGTTTCTTATGGTAGTGGAACTGGGAATTCATGCATTCCCAGTGAAGTCTGAGATCACCTGAATCTGATAGAACATGAGAGTGAATTGTCAAGTCTTCCCACCTGTGGTAAAAGAAGGGCAGGTTCTCAAACCAGAGCCACTCCAATACTTGCACCTGATTGAGTTTGGCACCCAGAAGGCACAAAGATAAAAGAAAGAATCACCAGTATCCTGAGATCAAGATTTCTTAGGAGCATGCCTGTGTGAGTGAGTTGGTAAGAAAGAACACTAAAGGAGTCCTAAATAAATTTCTAGTCCAAATTGCCAGACTGATTTTGCTTGCAGGTGGTGCTCAGGATTGAGGTTGTGATGCTAAATTTGGATGTGGCGACTCAGGATGCTATCTAGATTCCTGTCTTGTTCTTTGTGTCAGTCCCTTGCCTGTTAATCCAGTGTGTCCAGTGGGAAGACCCACCCTTGCTCTTATCAGTCTCTTTCCTGGGGATTAATTTCTGACCTTGAACCACAGCCTGGTAGTTCTGCCCCATGTTGTCAGTGTTCCAGCTTGTCTATATTACTGGATATCTCACCTGTTCAGGACTTTGTCCTGCTTGTCTAATTGAGCCCCTCTTCTCTCCCTGTCAAGACCTTCTTGCTTGCCTGGATTACCACCTGTTGTTTACTTACATCTGTATGGCACCATATTCCACCTGTTTTCTTCACTTCCTTAGAATCTCTGGAACTTTAATTTTCTACCTTCAGTTCTTGCCAGGTCCTCACCAAATCTGCTCTATTCTATTGAAATGTTAGGGCCAGTAAGATTGTGTCCAAAAGACAGAGTCTAATTCTTCTTTTACACAAGAGCCTTTAGCCATTTGATAGCAACCTTTCCATCATCTTTAATCATCTCTTTAGGCTAAAGCTTGCTGGATCTCACATTATCAAGGTCATTCATCTATGGATTTAATTCAGCTTGTCAATAGTCCTCTTAAAAGGTGGCATACAGAAGTGATTCACATGATTCAACAGAGAATATAGTATGGATGTCATTACCTATGATAAGGGCATACTTTATATTTATATTAATTGTGCCTCCATTTATGCTATTATTTTGCTATTATTTTCCATCAGGGATAGATCGAGGTTTTGTAAGTCCTAAAGCTTATAAACTTTAGGGACTCTCTTTAATAATTTATTTTTAACAAATATATAGTTAGTTTTAAGTCCAGTGAAAATGAGGGATCCTGATTTTCATTGCAAATCTACCTGAAGGTTCCTAATAGTCTTGTCTGGTAAAATTCCTGCGTATTCCTCTCTGTATTAGTGTACCCTACTAGGTTTAATTTGGGTACTTAGCATATGAGAGATTAAGTGAATTAACACACGTGAGGGACTTAGAATAATGCCTAGCACTTAGGGCATGCAATAAATGGTAGCTATTATTATTTTTATTACTTACTAACAGGACCTTGACAAATTATCTTCCCGGCTCTTAATTTTCTTTTTGATGTAATGGAGATAATATTTGCCTTGCTTTTTTCATAAAGTTATTGTGAAGATTAAATGACAAAATATATGAATGTCAACTGAAATGCATCATACATATGGAAGGTATTGCAACTGAGGTTTTATTTGACATTGTTAATTTTAGGAAAGGTTATGTTTAGGAAAGAGAAGTCTTTACTCTAGCCGAGATGGAGTCACTAAAGACCTCAGTAGAGATGGGAAGAGGCAAAGGACAAAAGGTGCATGTGTGGTAGACGCTGAAGGCAATGACCTGCACATCTCTTTCCACATGCCAACATTCAGAAAAGATGAAAAAAATAGAATCTGAGAGAAAGCGGTGTAATTACACAAAAGGACAGGGACTTACTGTTTGTGTGTGTCTTTTCACAACTGGCCTTGACCTAGGTCTCCAGCTTTGTCTTCAGCCATGTCCTGCTCTGTAATCCAGGCTCCCAGGTCTCAACTGGAGAAATCCTACTCACACTTTGGGTTCAGCATAAATTCCCCTCTTCCCTGGGTTTTCCCCAGTTCCGTCTGTCCATCCCATAGGAAGAATAAATGGTTCTTCTCCGATACACTCTCCGTGAAAGAACTTCCACTCTAGACTGAAGGGCACCCAGTTTTCCTTATTTTCGTGTTTCCAGGGCTTAGCTGCTTCTCCCACTAAATAGATGTTCAATAAGGTTTAGTCAATGAATTCACTTTGTAGAAATAAGTTTTTTAAGTTGATAAAAGGGTATTTACGAGGGATTCACGGGTAAGAACGCCTTGCACACAGGCATTAACAGTCGTTAGCCACGGCAGCTCTGAGAGCAAGAGATCCTTCCAGCCTGGGGTACTCGGCAACCGCTCCTAGCGAATCCCGTGGGAAGGGCCACCCCCGCCAGCGCGGGGGCGTGGCGCGGCCCGAGGGGGTTTCCGCGCCGGGGGCGCGTCCGGCGGGGGCGCGGGAGGGGCTTCCGCCGCGAGGGGGCGGGGCTGGCGCGCCGAGTCCTCTGACGGCCCCAGCCAGGGAATTTCAATTTGAAACCTAGCGGAGGGAGGAGGCGGGCGCGGCGGCCCGGCGGCTGGGGCTGAAGGTGGACTGGTTCCTGCGCGAGCGAGCTCCGGAGGTGCGGCGTCTGGGTAAGGAGGCATGCCCGGCTGCGGAGTGGCGGGCCTGGGGGCGGGGAGCCCGGGCCGACTGAGTAGTCCCTACGGAGCTGCATGGGCGGCTCGGATTTTTCCTCTTGCTGCAGCTGGGAAGCTGATCTTGGGCAGGAAGCGGTGGCGGGACGGTCCCACCGGGGGGAGGGAGGCCGGCTTTGGGATTTTCTGCAGCTCCCTCTCTCTTCTCCTCCTCTTCTCTACCAGACCCCATTCTCTCTCCGGGGTCCGGGTCCTGTTGCTCCAGGCCAGATCCCCACTTCGCTGCTCCACTGTCCTTCTCTGCCCCCTCTCTCTCAGAGCTGGGGCCGAGTCTCGTCGTATCCGGGAGAGGTGGGGGCTTGGTGAAGAGTGTGCCGGCTCCTCCGGATGCCGTGGGCTCAAGGTCGCGCGTCCCCGGCCTCAAGGAACGGCTGGAAGACGAATCCGGCTCCATCCCGAGCGAGGGCCGCGGCGCGAGAACCGGTCCCGGCCAAGAGCGGCCACTCGTCTTTGGCTCCCTGCGATGTGCGCGGGGGCTCCCGGGATGCGGCGGCGCCCTTCGGGAGGATGATTTTGGCAGGGGAAACGCGCAGGCGAGGACTCCGCACCTTCCTGGGCTGTCCGCTCGCGTGGGCACTGCAGGAAGCCCGGCGAGGGCTGCGCGCTAGCCCCACGCGCCCCGCAGGTTCGGCCCGGTGTCCGCCCGCGCCCATGCGGAGAGGAACGCCGTTTCGCACTCTGATCCTTAGAGTTCTGACATCCAGGCCATCTCACTACAGATGCCATTTATTCTGCCTCCGGGGCTGGGAGCATTTTTAGGTGAGCTGCAGCGGAAGGATGAAGAGGAGAACCGAATGGATCCTGCAGAGTTGGAATTGGTGTCTGGGGCCCTATCCCCAGCCCGAGACGCTGCCCCCAGCAGCCGGAAGGGAAGTTTGAAGAGGGACGTCGGTCATTATGCTTCCCAAGATTTCAAACCATGCCATTTATTCTGCCTCCGGGGCTGGGAGCATTTTTAGGTGAGCTGCAGCGGAAGGATGAAGAGGAGAACCGAATGGATCCTGCAGAGTTGGAATTGGTGTCTGGGGCCCTATCCCCAGCCCGAGACGCTGCCCCCAGCAGCCGGAAGGGAAGTTTGAAGAGGGACGTCGGTCATTATGCTTCCCAAGATTTCAAACCTCCCCTGAGGTCAGGGTGTTTTTTTTTTTTTTTTTTTTTTTTGGGGTAGGAGGCTCTCTTTGATGATTAGTGATATTGAGCATCTTTTCACATGTCTATTGGCCATCTGTATGTCTTCTTTGGAGAAATGTCAGTTTAGGTCCTCTGCCCATTTTTTAGTGAGGTCAGGGTGTTTTTTTTTTTTTTTTTGGTGAGGTCTGAAGAGCTCTGGCCTAGAGTCTGTTATTTTTGGGAGGGGTCTCTGTGTGGAGTCCTCCCTACTGTCCCCGAAGACTCCTTAAATTGAATTCCCCATTACCGCAACCGCTGGCTCTGTTTTTAAGAACCGTGGATGGGTGGAAGGGAAGGTGGAACCTAGAGGAGCTGTAGATATATTTTCTCTTTTATGAATCACATCTTTCCCTCAGTTTCTTGAACTTCTTGAATCTGAAATGGCATGTGTGTGTCATTGTTCTTTTGCTGTCTTGTTCATTTTACAGCTTTTTTAAAAATGACTCAAGAGTTTTTCCTTTATTCCATTTTCTTCAGTTACTTCTTTACTTTTTCCCTTGTTTTTGTTCTTCTCTCACCGGAATCCATTATTTTTATAGTCTCTGTTTATAACACTTTTGAGAATTAGCATTTTAGTTGATGTCCTATAGTGTTTCCCCTTGAGTTTAGGACTTGAGTGAAACTGAGTCAGTTTCTTGGTTGCAGAATCTTGGGCTTAGAATTTTCAGGCTTGGAACAGGTTTTACTGGGAAACGAATAGCACAGCACTTAATCCTATTCAGTTTCCATGTTCAGGCCTATTGCTGTGAGAAATTACTGGATTGGTGTTGCAGTCACTGATGGAGCTGCATTGCAGTGAAATCTTGAATTGTCGTTAAGGGCCAACCCAGTATATCCATCAGGATGGTACAACTTTCAGAGAGTTTGGCTGTGTCACCTGCAGAGTTTCAGTGATCAATCTGATGATTCAATTTGAGAACTACCATCAAACTTCAGATATCTCCTCTTTGGAGGTCTTTGGAGAACTGTTCAAGTGAGAATGGCTTGGAACAATGGCATGGATTTAGGGCTAATTTAATCCTATCCTGTCTTCCTCACTTTTTGGGCAGAATTCCCACTGAAGTCAGTAGTGGTCTTGTGTGCAGAAGGACTGCTGAGAACAAGAGGCTGCTCATTTAGAGTAACGGGAAGGGACATTTTCTTTCCTTTTTAAAATATCCCTCTTTAAGAAAGACCTAGTCATAACAGTTTTTAATTTTTTACCTCTGGTTGAAGTAGTTACAACACGGTGTGCAAAGACTTTCCAGAGGAAATATGTGGATGAGTTGAGCCCCTAACTTGAAATTCTTAATATCTCAATTGGATGGAGATTGCTCAGAACAATTAAAAGTGATTTAAAAAAAATCATTTAACAAAACTAGAATTTGATTTTAATAAAATTATTTCTGACTTGTATAAAATTTTTAAACTGCTATGGAGTATTCTCAACTCAGTGTATATATTAAACTGGGTATAAATACAACTGGGTATGTATATTAAAATCTGAAATTTAATTCCAAGTAGAAAGAAGCAAATATGCAGATTTAGGGGACGCACCTGAAGAGAGGCTCACCAAAAAAGAACTATTCAAATATAAGACAAAGAAATTCAGATAGCTCTTACTGCATTTGAAGAGTTAGTACAGTTATTATATGTAGTGACTGTCTGGGCCCATCAGATTTGTGAGCACTCAGAGATTTCCAAGTTAACTTTGTGCTGATCTGGGTTGGTGAACTTGTCAGGTTCCTTGCTTCTCTATGTTAATGTTCTTGTGGCTTACCCTTTCCAAATTACCAGTTCTAAAGAACTGAGTTTAGAAAACCTATCTAGTCACCAGATTTTAAAAATAGATTTTTAAAAATCATAACCATGTCCACGTGTACTACCCAACCACTTGCTTTCAACTAAAAATACTTGCAAAGATGACAAAGGAGTTCTCAACCAAAATATTTATTGGTAAAATTACTCTGTAGTTAGTAATATTGTATAGTTATGTTTAACATCAGGTTTTGCTCTGAATCACTACTCTCATATTACTGTGGTAGAGAATTACAAAGGTTCTATCTTTGCCATTTTATTTAGGAATGTGGGGGTTATAGTTTATATAACAATGCGAAATATTTTTGAAAATTTGATTTTGTTTCTATTAACATAGGAAAGTATGGGCCTTTTTTGTTGTTATTATTTTACTTTATTATTATTATTTTTTTGGAACTGAAGTAGCCTGTTTAAAAGCCATGTGTAGACTTTTTGGAAAATGTCTGAAGGCAATAAAATAGTATAAGGATCAATAGTGCTGAGAGTCAAATTTCGCATTTTTAAAATCTGTATTGTTTACTTGGAGAAAGCAAGGAAATGTGCTTCCCTTCCCCCACTTTATTTAGAAACATTTCCAGTGGCCTCGTTTGCTTTTTCAGATTCAGAATTACTGTACCTAACCACTGGGTACCCTTACAGATTTAAAAGCCTCAAGTAAATGTTTATGCTGGCTTCAGTACTCAGCAAATACTAGCCAAACCCTAATTTACTGCCCTTTTATAGAATCTTGGAATCTCAGGGCTAGACCTTTAGGAGTCAGCAAATCCATTTTCAGCCCTTGCCCCTTCTCCCCAACACACAGACATTACCAGCCTTTTTGGAAGGCCTGAGTTAATAGATTTGTAGATGATTCCTCTACAGATTCCAGACAGAGCATCCTTTGCGAATGGCATGTTTTGGCACAAACCAGCAAGTTAATATTCATAATATTTCTGTCATTCTTTGACTGGGCAGTGCCCCAGACTAAAATCCAAAATGAAGTCAGTGCCTGGTGTTATTAACTACAGGGGAAGGGCCTCCAAGTATAAATAATATAGTTATTTAGAAGTTATAGGTAAGCCAGAAAGCAAAGAAAGGAATCATCTCTATTATCAGTTAGAAATAACTGATAATGATAACCAGTGCTTTTTTTAAAGTTTTTTTTTTTTCTTGTAAAGTATATATTTGTGTATTTTGTATGAGAGAGGGAATATTATGAGGGAACCCTCTCTCATACAAAATACACAGACATACACACATTTTAAAAAATATTTATGTATTTGTGATGTGAAGCATCTATGACATTGTAGTTAATGAATTTGATGAATCAGTTCGTTCAACTTTTATATAATATATTGGAGGTGCTTTTAGTGAAGAGTCTTTGAAAGCTGGAGTTGGCTTTGTAGAACCTGGTACTATTATATGTAGAAATGTCCTTTAGGTAATATTTCATATAGGGGATTTGCTTTTCTTTCCACTCGGTGTAATTTCCTTTTGTTTTGTGATTGGCTTGAGATCTGTGTGGGTTTCTTAGATGTGCGTTTTTCATGTCTAGAATAATCTGTACATTATTTTCTTAAATACTTAGTGTTTGGGATATTATTTATTTGAATGAGAATTTCAATGATTTTTCCCCCCAAATTCTCATTTTTATTTTTATTTTTTTATTTTTTATTTTTATTTTTATTCTTTTAGTGAGGCAACCTTTGGTTGACCTCACAGATTGCAAGGACCTTGTCAAGCTCACAATTCCTTACTTTTTAAATTTTTTACGCCTAC